GGGGCACTTCTCCACTGTTGGTGGGAGTGTAGACTGGTGCAGCCACTATGGAAATCACTATGGAGATTTCTCAGAAGTCTAGGATTGGAAGTTCCATTCAATTCAGCTATTCCCTTCCTGGATATTTTCCCAGAAAACTGCAAAGGTCACAGTGATATATGTGCACCCATGTTCATAGCAGCACAATTTGTAATAGCTAAATCTTGGAAACAACCAAGATGCCCATCCACCAGAGTGGATAAAAAAATGTGTTTTTTTGTTTTTTTGGTTTTTTTTGTCTTTTTTTTGAGACAGGGTCTCTCTATGCAGTTCAGGCTTGCCTTGAGCTCACTTTGGAGCCTAGGCTGGTCTCAAACTCACAATGATCCTCCTGCCTCAGCCTCCAGAGTGCTGGGATTACAAGCGTGAGACACCACACCCGGCAAAATGTGGTATTTTTATACAATGGAATATTACTCAGCTATAAAAAGGATGATCTTGAGGCCTTCACAGGCAAATGGAGACAATTTAGGCTATCCTAATTAGTGAAATAAATAAGAATCATATTTATAAATATCACATTGTGTCTCCAATGTAAAAAGTAGTAAGAAATGTAGGAGTAATAAAACCCAAAATGTGTAATTGCTATTGTAAAAAAAAAAGAGGAAAACAAAATGATCTAAAGGATATAATTGCGTGTATGTTTAAGTATGTAGGATTGATAACCATATTACTAAGTTTTTTTTTTTTTTTTTGTCTTTTTCCTTTTTATCGGTACCGGGGATTGAACTCACAACTGCCTGCTTGCAAGGCAGGCCCTTATGCCGCTGAGCTAAATCCCCAGCCCCCATATTACTAAGTTTTTGTTGGATAGTTGAACAGAACTGGTTGCAGTCTCACTGTTTAAATGTATGCTTGTATGCTTTACTTTTATATTGAACAACTATTTCTAAGAGGACAATATGTAATTTATCAACTAGTGATTTCTTACTGTTTTTTTGAAATTATGTATTATTTCTACCCATTTTTTTTTCTTTAAATTAAAAAAAAAAAACAGAGATGGCCATCAAAGTGAGTGGCAAAAAAGGAATAAAGGTACAGGACACTGGAAATGTGCAGGTAAAAAGGTTTGAATAAATTCAAATTAAGCACATTTCTGCTACAGCACGTAACATGCCAAGGGCATGTGGCAAAGGCTGCACCTCTCGTTTAGAATTACTGGAAACAGGGTATATGGAATCAACAAATGAACAAAGTAAATATGGTATATATTTATGCACAATAGAGTACTGCTCTGCTATAAATAAAGATAAATGAGATATTCATAGGCAAATGGATGCAACTTGAAAGCAATGTTTAGATCCACAGCTAAATACTGCACGGTGTCTTACACAAGAAACTAAAAAGGAAAGAGAGAGAGAGAGTGTGTGTGCAAGAATGAAGATAAAGAGGAAGCAGCGAGAAGCCCACATAGCCCAGTATCGATTCAGTTGTTTCCAAAGTACTTTAATATATATGCTAATTTGTTTCATTTATGTACTAGTTCCGGTTCACTGAAGAGAAAGTTTTGTGCTTTTCTCTCCCTGTTTCTTCTTTGTAAGAGAGTATTTTCTGTCTATGACTTCCATTATGCGTAACATTTTGGTCATTCTTTTAAGATCATGATATGCAATGTTTTAATATTGTTGTTTCTAATTATTTTGTTATGAAATTTTGTTCTACTTTTTCACAGAAGTTAAGAGTACTTTTGAAAATTTTTCTTTACTAATATCCACTTAAATTACATAAAAATAAAAAAATTACCAGAGGTGAGTGGGTGTTAGAATTAAAGAGAACGATACAGGTAGATATTAGGATGCCAAGGAAGAAGGCCAAGGATTAATTTGGAATCCCCAGCAAGGAGGCGCTATGTGTCAGAAAATCAGTCACCTTTGCTTCTTGTTTTATTTGACCTTTCCTTAGCAATCTGAACCGCTAACCATATCTTCCTCCTTGAAGTTCTCCCCTCTATTGGCTTCCACAAAATGGCATGCTGCATTTTGCTCAAGAGAATTAAACATTTTTCAAAGGGGCTAGCACCACCAAACTGCACTGGCCTTGAAAAGATAAAGGTCCGAACTAAGTGGGGGTGGGGAGGGAGTATCTTCCTGACTAGCCCATTTTCATTATCTTGCAAGGTAAAATTACAGTCAGCTCTTCAAAACTTATCAGACAGGAGATAACAGTTAACTCTTCTGGTTCGCTTATTCCTATGTCCAAAATATTAAGAAAAAGATAAAACCAAAACATCTTTTTAAAAAACCAATGCCCTCAAAAAAAGCCCCATTATAAAGAGAAATAATTCTGTCTATAAAGATGCCACCTACAGGATGGAAGAAGGTTCATATTTAGTGCATCAGAATTGTTTACAAACTCAAACTACCTCATGGTCCCAACTCCTTTGACTTCAAAGTTTGACCTTGTAGTTGGTTGAGCGACCTTCCTCATTGCCAAAGTCGAGTTTTCCACATCATACAACATTTAACAGTAAATCAGCAACTACATATTCTCCATATGAGAATTCCAGGCACTGTGCAAAGTGCAACAGGATCAAAGATGTCCAAAATGAGGGCCGACCGTAAAATAATGTGACAAATTAGTGGTTGCGTAATAACATGTAATTATAGAAGAGGTAGGAACAGTGCTTTAAAAGGGTAGTTTAATCCAGGGACTAATATATAACCCATATGCTTACACCACAGTACAAACAGCTATGCCCCAAGCGTGTCTACATTCACCTAAAAAAATGGGGTTTTTTGGTTTTTAAAACAGGATCTTGCTATACAGTTCAGATTGGCCTTGATCTCACCATGTAACCCAAGCTACATTCAAACTCATGGTAATTCTCCTGCACCAGCCTCCCAAGAGCTAGGATTACAGGCATGTACCACCAAATTTGTCTGAATTTTTTTTCTTACCAAAACTTTATCAATAAAGAAAACAGTATACAGATCTACATTCTGGTATAAACTCCCTTTCTAACAAACTGGCACTCCGGTAGCGTGAAAATACAGGAAATGAAAAGAGAATGGTAAGTCTGAGAATTTTAAAAATGGGCCTTATAAGATAATCAAGATTTTGTCAAAGAGATGAAGGGATTCCAGGCTATTCTAGATAGCCTAGACTCCTTTATCTGTGAAACAAGGATGTTCCTGAAATGCTGTTACACCATCATATTCAAGTTGACCGACTACATTCTCCTTGTTTGAAAATTAAATTTCTCGATTATTCCTTCGCCTTCATGTATTTTTTTTCCTGCACATCTGGTTAACTGTTATCTGACAATTATATATTTTAATTGAATTTTATTTGTTCTCAATGGTTCTGAATCCCTCCCCCCACCTTTTTTTCGGATTGGGAATTACACTAAGCTATATCCTTTTTTGAGATAGGATCTTACTAAGTTACCCAGCCTGGGGGTGAACTTGCAGTCTTCTTCCCAGAATGCCATTCATTCATCCATCCATTCATGCATTCATTTTTTGAGACAGGTAGGATCTCACTCTATAGCCCACAGTAGCCTTCCACCTCAGCCTCCTGAGTCCTGGGATGATAGTCACACTAGGCTTGGTTCTGAATTTGTTTCTTTGGCTTCTCTTAGAATTCTCTCTATACCCTTAAAGGGCAGTAACTAACTTTTTCATAAAACAGCACATTTGGCATAACAATACCTATGTAAGGGTATTTGAACTGAAAGCTTTTAAGTTAAAGTATAAATGTAACCTGCTGATCAAGAATTTTAAGTATCTTTCTTAAACTTCTGTTTTTATCTCTTACGCTTCCTATTTTTGAATTACAAGAAATATATGACTTTACACATATGTAAACATGGCATTGTCTCCCTGGTGTGAAAAGCTGAAAGAAATTATATATATATATTAGTTAAGATAGTTATACTACTAATTTCTCTTGAAAAATTGAAAAGAAAGATTTTTTTTTTTTTTTTGTCTTTTTCGTTTTTATCGGTACCAGGGATCGAACTCACAACTGTCTGCTTGCAAAGCAGGCGCTTATGCTGCTGAGCTAAATCCCCAGCCCCCGAAAAGAAAGATTTGTGCTAATATTGTTTGGACAATTAAATGCAGATATCCCGTACTCTGAGTAACTAATTGAAGGATAACATGCAGTGTAGTAACCATTGCTGTCCTCTAATTATCTTGTTTCAAAATTTTATGTTTGTCTCTTTAAAATAAAATTTTAAAGAGGAAGAATCCCACCAGTTCTGTCTTAGTTTCCTATGATGAATTATCTGAGAAGACAGTAAAATAGAGCCATACTTTTTTCATAAATATATTCTAGTTATACATGAACTAAAGTTTCTTCCCTTGTTAAGTACAAAACCAAAAGTCACATGGTAAAGTTTAAATTTTTTAAAGGTTAACTACAGAGATGAATTATTGATCTTTTTACAGTTAAAAGTAAACACATATATATTTTCTGATGTGCACCTTCTGCCCAGTATATAGTACTTATTCAACAATTTTGTGTTAAAAATCAAAAAAATAAACGCAGCAAAGTACTGTGTGTACATTCTAAAAATGAGAACACCCAACCATTATTGCCTCCATCACCAAATGATAATAGGCAGCAAATAGTTCTCCTCAAAGGAAGAGTATAATCCAACTATGATGTATTTGATATAAAAATGGAGAGTTCCTATTCAGCCTCCCCACAAAAACTACTTTAATAACAACCTCATCTAACGCAGCTTCTAGTCCTCTTCCATAATACCAATATTATAAGGGAATTCAATGAATTTAACTACTCAAATAAAAATTATGATTATTTTTAAACCATCAAGTAACAGAATTCTCAGTCACTATAGACCAATTCTGAAAAACAACAAAATCAGGATCAGTCATTTTCAATTAAATGACTGTAATATATACCAAATCACTTTTGGACATTACTCATTATGGCTAGACTGTTGTTATTTTGGAGCTCACAGCCCGTATGTCACCAGTTTTGAGCTCTTCACTCACTTTCTCCTTTCTTCTCTCCATCTCGCGATCTCCTCTGGGGTATCTAACTTGATCTTCTTCATACCAGGAGCATGCATCTAGGAGCAAAAGTCTACTGAATATCAGGAAGCATACTGTATGCTTTTGACTAAGCAGGAGCCTGTTTTCAACATTAAATTTCCAAGCAAAAACAAACGGAAAACTATGGCAAATAAGCCAATTTTACACATTCTTATTATGACTTTTATTTTAAAGGAGAAAGAACAATTTTATCCACTTACATTAATATAGGAAAACAATAAAATTTAGTTACGAAATAGATGTATATTTTCTAATTCACATTAAATACTAAAATGAATAACTTACCAAACAAAATTGACAGTAGAAGCTAAAGAAACGCACGAATCAGGTAATTTTATGTCGCATGACATAATAAAACCAGCATAAATTTGGAGTTAAGAAACTCAAAGGCAATAATCAGTCTGGAGGCCCTAGGAAAGTCTACCCTTGCCCCCCATTTACTGACTTCACATTCGTGTGTTGAGTCTATAATTAAGAATCTTAAAGTTCTCTTATAAAGTAGAAATTTTAGCAAGGAACATTGGCACATGCCTATAATCTTGTACTGTAGAAGACCAAGGCAGGAGGACTGCAAGTTCAAATCCATCCTGGACAATTTAGTAACTTGGCGAGACCTCATCTCAAAATAAGAAACGGTGAACAGTGCTGGATGTAACTCAGTGTGAGGGTCCCAGCTTCAATCCCCAATACCACAGGGGGGATAAAAAAAGGAAGAAGTACTCCATAAATCTCCCTTATAATTAGACCATGTAAATGATGAGATATGATGGTAATAGTTTAATAAGAAGAGTGTATATCAATAAAAGGCTATGATTTAAAAAAACATAAAAAAACTTACATTTCTCCAGTGGAACTGGACAATCTTCTCATGTGCACTAAAAGAACAATCTACTTCGGGGCACTGTAAGAAGTTTTTTTTAAAGACCATTTAACATTTTTCACATTAAAATTTTCCTGCTGTATATATACAAATACATTCTAGCCATACTTCAGAACTACCCTTCTGTGTAGTGGTGTCCCTTCATTCTTATGTCAATTGCAAAAAAAAAGTCACTGCAAACTGGAGCTGCATTTAAAAAGGAGCGACACTCACTAACTACAGAGCACCACGATACGCCTCATTTACTTTTCCTCTTGAGTGAAAATAGACATCAGCATTGTTGTAAAATAGTCTTACTTCCTAAAGTTGAATTTATAGGTGTCACTAAATGAATTTAAGTTATTAAAGCTGAATTCCTTAAATGAAAAAAGAACTTTCCCAAATCAAGAACTTTTAAAATTTTAAACATTCTGAGTATTTTTTTTAAAAGTACTTAAAATTTGGGTCATCTTAGCGGGTGGTGATCCATGGCAAATAACAGTGTAGTTACACAGTCTGAGACTTAAATGCGCACAAGACAAGAAGGGCCCGGTCTGCTTACTAAGCAGGGAGCTGCTGGGCCTCCCTGTTAGCGGTATCTTACAATCTCTCTGGAGCACTGGACATCCCACATTCAAACTGCAAATTCCTGGGGCATTATCCCCATCTGTCAAGTCTTAAGCATTTCTATGAAAACTATAAACTTACAAGAAAAATAAGTTTGGAATTTCTACCAAAAACACAAATTACGGGCCATTTTGTTACATAAATTTCAACATGACTAAGAACACTTACTTTTGTATGTTCAGACATATGTTGGTCATATTTTTCTTGATTTTTAAAACCACGATCACAAGTATCACAAAAAAAGTGAAAAATAGGTTCTTTTCTTTTCTGCAAATAAAAACAGACAGTAGCTTTTGGTTAAAAAAAAAATCTCAGCCAATAATAAAAATGTAAGTATCCTTCTAGTTAAATATACTTTGATTTTTCACATAACCTTTACACAAGCCGTGCAGTGAATTTTAGTAGTACAGTAAAAAACATTGCCATTAATGGCTCCCAAAATACTCCCACTCACTTCAGACACATTTATCCCATCCTTCTTGCCACTTTCTGAAAAAGTTCCAAAGGCCCATTTCATATTTTTACCAAATGCGATCAAAATTATGGTACATAGTCCCACCACATGCCATCCAACAGGAAGACAGGCTCGTGTAAACATTACAGTGCCCTCATCCACACTATTCAGTGGACGTGGCACCAAGTGACTTCTGGCTCTTCCTCAAATTCAAAATGATCATGAGCGGTAAATGGACTGATTCAGGACACCAAGGTAGATGTAACAGTGCAACTAAGGTTCCTCACGCGAGACAATTTCCAGAACTGCTTCAGAAAGTACCAAAAATGACGAGATAGGCGCATTCAAGGAGAGGAGGAGCATTTTTAGGGTGATTACTGGCAATACCTTTTACTGTAATACATTGCTTAAATTTAAAATTTTACTGTATGTTTAGATCACCCCTCATATGTACAATATGCTTCTAAATATACTTCTAAGTTAACAGGCTTTTTTGCTTTTTTGTTTTTAGGAAATATTAACAGAAGCCAGGCATGATGAAAAACCTTTAAATCTAAACAAAGCAAATATAATCTACAAGTAAATTTCAAGTTGATAATCTAATCAGGATTTAGTGCAACATATCAAAGAGATCTAAAAATAAATATTCAAGGTAAGAATACTTCTTTTAGGAAAAATATTTCATGTAATTTTAAAATTACAGAAAAGGTGAAAAAGAATCATTTAAGTATTAGCTGTTTGTGATTCATAATTTGCTATTTTCATACTTAAACATGAACAGAAACACTATTTAATAGTCTAGAAACTACTGGAAATAGTCTCCAATTCTTTTAATAATGGGGTTTGGGGATACTATCCTTGTCAACATGTACTACAGTTTTCATGCCAAAATGAAAGACATTAATTTATGCAACATACACTAATAAACTTTTTTTTTTTTTTTTTTTTGGTCTTTTTTGAGACAGGGTCTCACACTATGCAGTTCAGGCTGGCCTTGAGCTCACTTTGTAGCCCAGGCTGGTCATGAACTCACAACGATACTCCTGCCTCAGCCTCCCGAGTGCTGGGATTATGGGCATGAGCCACGACACCCGGCTTAATCAACTTATTTTAAACTATTGTAATTGGTTGTATACCTTAAATTTGAAAGACTATATCTGTTAGTTACATGAGAATAAAGGAAACTTACTTTAATACAATACAAACAGTTCATTAAAAAAGCTTTCATAAAAATAAATACTAGCAAAAAAAACTGAAGCACTTACAGTGAATTAAGATAAACAATAATGTGCATAAACAGTAATATATTCAGTCTGAGTTTCAAACATTATTTGAAACGTTATTCAAACACGCAACAGGATGACTAAAAATTATTTTAAATTAGAAACATTACATTTAGTTTTACTGGAATATAACACAAGGGAAAAAATTGCTTTTTTTACTAATCTGTTCTTAAAATATCTATGTTAAAAAGCAAAGATTATGAAAAAGGTCTTTTGTTATAGTTTATTCTTAACTTCATGCTTTCAACTGAATAAGAGAAAGGTGGTCTTCTAGTTTCTCCCAAACTTTTATCAGTTTCCTCCCAGTCTGCTAGTAATTTTTTATTTTTCCTAAGTTTAATAAAATTTACATTTATCTGTAATCACATTTTTCAAATATTTTTTACTCCTGATACTGTTTATTCTCTGTTTTCTTTTCCTACAATTTCTCAGTTTGCTTCTCAATATGAATTTTGTTTAAAATTTTTATTTATAGCTAAGATCCTTAAAACTCCCGAAGCAAAGCTCCACTGTGCCATAACCCAGGGACCAAAGTGTCACATTCAAGAACAGCTTAGAAATACCTTTTTTTTCTGTTTTTTGCTGGGAGGGAAGTTGAAGTCAGCCAAGTTAGGATCATATTTTCGTGGGAAATAATGTTTACCTGACAAAAAGAAACTCATTAATTTTCACAAATACATAGTTATTTAACTATTTACTATAGCATATCACAGATGTTTGCATAAAAATACTGGTAAACTACCTCTTTTGAGGAAGAACAGTTAAAAACACAGCAGAGATTATTACTAGCTTAAGTATTTTTCAAATGAAACACTGGTGAGATCACATATCCACAAATGCCTTTGGTGTCTAAATACAATGAACAATCTAACCAGATGAAATTCCTTCAACTTACTTTAAACAGTACAAATCTAATTAGTAAAATCCCTCCCTGATCTTTCAGCATCAATTTCATACCAGGAATATAAATATATTTATATATTTATAAATATATTTATATTTATAAATATTTATATGAAATATAAATGGTGAAATATATCTCTTAAATTCTATCCCACCTTTCATTTTCATTGCCATGACCCAACTCAGAAACGGTAGATTACTGTGCCACCCTCCCAGATTTTCTTCCAATCCCTAACCCTCTCTTTTAGTAGACCTTACAAAATGGTACCACAAAAATAATTCTCCAGTCAAGTCACAACTTGTCTCAAAATCTGCAAATGGCTTCCTGGTATCTTCCAATGATATTCCAATTTATAGTCTCATCCTATGCTTCTCCCATCTTCCACATATTCTGCTTCAGTCATACTGGAACACTGCAATCTCCAAAACTCACTTTGTACTGACAGTTTTTTGCCTGTACCTAGAAAGTATCCCTTCCCAAATTACAAATCTCCTAAGACACTTCCTGCAAAAGTTTCCCCCACTTCCTTTGCACAACATAATCACCTTTTACGTGTTTCTATCATGACATTGTACTATGATTTATTCTTATAAATCTATCACCTTTGTGTCAGTCAAATTCACATTTCTTTCATCTGGCACACAGTAAACACTGTTTGAATTCGATGTAGTATAAATGAAATCTTAAACAGAGTTGGATAATGGTTTTAAATGAACAATCCTGTGACTTATTTCCCCCGAAAGCAGACTCATAACACACTTTTCACCATCTCTATTTGATGTGAATACATTCCATACTCAATTCCTGACCTTCCAAATCTGCCTCACCCACATCTCTTTCATACGCCTGTTAATCGCAACTTCATCCTCCAAATTGTTCGGCAAAACTTCAAGTTACCTTTTTCTCATCTTTAATCTCATATTTCACATTCTTTCAGAAAATCACTTTCACCCTCCCTTTAAATTATATCTAGAACCTGACAACCTCTCATCACCTTCAAATCTCCACCCTGGTCCAAATCCTCACTAGAACTGCAGAAGCTTCCTAACTCGCCTCCCTTTCAGTCAATTCCCATTAGCTGTCACCTAAATCCCAACGAAACACAAATTAGGTCATGTGACTCTTTTGCACTACCCATCTCCTAGCATCAAAAGTCAAAGTCTCATGATCTAAAAAAATTTAATAAGGTTGCCCTTTTCCCCATTCATCTACAACTGTCTTTTCTGGACACTTCTGCTGTACATTGTAGCTACTGCCTTAAAGGCTTTGCATTTGCACTTCATTCCTAATCACTACCCACTCAGATGTAACCACTCAGAAACTCTGCTCAACTATCTCTTTCCTTATCAGAGATAATGACATTTAAAGCTACAGTTATGCCTGGCATTCGGGAGGCTGAGGCAGGAAAACTGCCATGCGTTTGAAGCCAGCCTGCACCACACAGTGAGTTAAAGGCCAGCCTGAACTACAAAGCGTGCACTGCCTAAAACAAAACAAATCTGCAGTTATTCTTTAACTCTCTGCAGCACTGATTACCTTCTATTAAGCAACTTTGCATATTGTCTTTCTTCTTACACCAGAGAGATGTTTAGCTACAAAAAATAAGGATTTCTGGGCTACTCACTGTTATATTCTCAGCTCCTGGCACACAGCTGGGATTCAATAAATAACTATATTTAATGAGTATGCAGGGGAAGCATTCCAGCAGCTTATATCTTGAGACATTACCAGACTTCAAGAGTGCAAGGCAGAGTGGAGACAGGAAAGGGAGAAATGGGAAGAGAGGATGAACTGCAAGGCACAGACAACTACCTACCTGGAGGGTTGTGGGGCTTCTGATGTCGAAGAAAACTATCAGGCGGCTGTCCCCAGTACCATGATGTGGAAGCCGGCAAATTGTAAGGACGGCCGCTGAGTTGAGGCTGAGACTCAAGGGGAGACTGGGCGTCAAAGGGAGGCTGTGCCCCTGGAAGAATCTGGGCGTCGAAGGGAGGCGGCGCCCCGGACAGAGACTGCATCTCCATGGGATGTTGTACTACGGTGAAAGGTTCTGACCCAGCCGCGGGAGGAAACGAAGGAGGTGGTGGTGGTGAGAACATCGGCCACAGTGTCCAATTGTCAGGCTGCGGAGTGGTGTTACGTAGGGACCCCAGATCCGGGGATGGGAGCCACCCAGTAGGAGTCCCTAAGCCACTAGCCGGTTCTGCCATGCCGCTTTCCAGGTAGGGAGCTCAACGTGCAACTGTGTAACAGAGTTTGTGCGTCACTTCCGTTATTGCGGAGCTCACAACTCAACCAACCACAGGCGGAAGCGTCATCACTAAGCGCCGAAAAAACTTCCGGCATTCGCAGTGCCTCGCGGTCAAGTTTTTTGGGCGATCTGACCGGGGTACTTAAGACTTGTATGCGTGACCAGTGTCTGTCGCCTCAGATGGCGAGGGACCTGATCGGGCCAGCGCTACCGCCTGGCTTCAAGAACCGCGAGACAGCAGAGGAAGAGGAGCGGGACCCGAGCCCGGGTGAGCGAAGGCGTGTCCTTGTCCCCCAAGCCCACCTTACCCTCCTCTGACCGGCGTTTCTCTTAAGAGGAAAAGGTCTGGGGACTAAGAGGACGGAGGAGTGGAGAGTGGGTGCGGCCAGACCCCAGCTAACCTGGCCTCCTACACTGTGGCAGTAGGGAGGAAGTGCCCTAGAAACCTAGTTTGGGCCTGATAATCTTTATAACCACGAGAGATTTCCATTTGGTGCTTAATATGAGCCGGACTCGGTGCCAATAGGACAACACACATTCAGTCATTTAATTCTCCCAGCGTCTGTATAAGGAAAAGATTACTATTCCCATATCCGGTCACCGAGACTCAGACAGGTGCCCAAATGACCCAGCTAGTTGTTAGTGTGGCCCAAATTAGAACGAAGTCGCTCTGTCAGCAGACCAGTCCTGCTTTCTGACTTTCAAAACCTTGCAGAAGACCCTGTTTCCGCTAGTCGCCGCTGCTTTCCTTGCATCTGACACATACAGCCAGTTACTCAACAGGTTCCAGTTTGTGCGCGCTTCTTCAGCGCTGGGCTTGTGGTCTCTGGTTGCACTGCTAGATACACGTGAAAAAGTCCCATCAATCCCTCAAGACCCAAGTGTACCCTCTAAGCTATTCATTATACCCTTCTCTTTACCTTCGGGGTTTCCCACGGTAGTTGTACACTGTATATTTAATATGTTGCATTTGAACAATTACTCGACATACTAGTCTCCACTATTTCACTATGAACTTTTGTGGTCTTCTACCTTAACATGTAATAGGCACTTTCTAGTACAAAACTAATGCTTCCCAGACTCCTTCATACATATTTATCTTTGTACTAACGTGTAGACCGGACTGACACTGTAGTTGGAAAAGAGTTAAACTGAAAGAATATGCCAATTATACCTGAATCAAATTTTCCTCCTTTGACTATCCATGTTTTCACTAGAGGGTTACTCTATATTATTTCTGTTATAGCCACTATAAAATATTACTTTTATTTTAGCAAAGTAGTTTTCCATCGATCTACGATTAAAGGAAAATGTGAGTGAATTCCGTTGGATGACTTTTCTGTGTATCCTTTATTACTGGTGGATGTTTAAGTAGTTTACATTTTTTGACTTACAAAAAGCGCTGCTGTGTGTTGTTATACATGTTTTACATTCTTACACCTTCTAAGTACTACCAATATAAGTTCTCAGCATTTGTAAGAATTCCAATTGTTTTGTATTCTTCCTAATATTTAGTTTTTCTGTCTTTTGAATATGTTTTATACTTGGTACCTCATGGTAGTTTTAATTTGCATTTCCTAAGGGAAAAAATGAAATTGATCGGGGCTGGGGATTTAGCTCAGCGGCATAAGCGCCTGCCTTGCCAGCTCGTAGTCATGAGTTCGATCCCTAGTACCGGAAAAAAAAATGAAATTGATCATCTCTCCATGTTTTTTGACTGTGTGAATGTGTCACATTGAAGTCTTTTGCTTATTTTTTCATTTGTCTTACTGACTTATTGAGTTATTTATATAATTAAAAATCTTTTTAGATACATTTTTAAATATCTTTTCCAACTCTGTGGTTGCCTTTTCACTCTCATTTTATTCATTTCATGAACAAAAGTTTTTAATTTTGATATTTTGTTTCTTAATACTTTTTTCCTGTTGCAGTGGGAATTTTTTATCCTATGGAGAGAATCTTTGCCTTCTCCAAGATTGTGAAACTGGTCCATTCTTTTCTAAAAGCATAGTTTCAGCTTTCATGTTTAGTTTTACAGTCCTTCTAATTCTTTTGTTTGTTGCAGTACTGGGAATTAAATTCTACCACTAAGCTACATCTCTTTTGTTTAATTTTCATTTTGAGACAGTATCTCACTAAATTGCCGAGGTTCTCATATTACTAAGATTTTATTAGACAGTTGAACAGAACTGTTTGCAGTCTCCCTGTTTGAATTTCCATTTATATGTTCTACTTTTGTATCTTGAACAATTATTTGTAAGAGGACAATATGTAAATATCAACTAGTGATTTATTACTGTTTTTTTTCTTTAAAATTATGTACTATTTCTACCCGTTTTCTGTTTTGTCTTTCTTTAAATAAAATTTTTTAAAAATTGCCCAGGTTCTAATCAAATTTATACTTCTCCTGCCTCAGCCTCCCAAGTAGCTGGATGACAAATGTGCACCACCATACCCAGCCTTACTTTTACAATCCATCTGGAATTGATGTTTGTTATATGGTGTGAGGTAGAGTGAAGACTGTTTTCCCCATCAGAGTATCAAGTTGACTTGGTTCCCTGTACTATAATGTTACTGTCTATATAAGTCTAACAACTACATATAAAATATACACAGAATCTACCATTTTAACCCTTTTTTTTTTATATGGGTGGTAAACTCAGGGCCTTTACACTGAGCTGTATTCCCTGCCATTCTGCTTTTTGTTTTGAGACTGTCTTTCTAAATTGCTTAGGCTGGGGATGTACCTCCCTCAGCCTCCCAGAGTACTGGGATTACAGGTGTACACCACTGTTCCAGATCATGTTAACTATTCTTCAGAGTATAGCAGTAGCATTGGGCACATTTTCATTTTTGTGCAGTTATCACTGTTGTCCTCCAAAATCCATCTTGCAAAACTGAAACCTATATCTATTAACCAAAAGCTCCCCATTCTGTCTTCCCCTTGACTCCTGACAGTCATTCTACTTTATTTTCTCGTGCATTTGATGTATAAGTGAAATCAAATAGTAGTATGTATGGTTTTGTACCTGTTTTTATTTCACTGGGAATAATGGTTCATCTGTCTAACATGGATCAGAATGTCCTTCAAGTTGTGATTCTCCAACCCAATCTGATATATGGGTTCTTCATAACTTGGCTACCTCAGAAAGAAATCATGGACGATCATAACCCAGTTCTGTGGAGAAGGGAAGCCTAGATCTCAGATGGAACAAGTAAACTTCATTCAAATATATACTTTGGAAACTGAGTGCTTGGAAATATCATGCCTGAGATCATGCCATGTTAAAACAGTGGGCTCAAGACCAAACAGTCCAGATGTTGCCTTGCAACACTCATTGAAGCCTTGGTCTCCCCCACTACACACGCTTGTAGTACTGGGCTTTGGCAGTAAACTACATATTCTAGACCTTGGAAGTCACAGGGCAGAATCTGTATGTGTATAGAAGAGAAAACTAATGTCTACAATTTTTAATTGAAATTCAAATGTAATAGAGTGCTTTTTTGTATCACCAAATGCAGTAAGAGAGGAGAGGAACGCAAGCTTCTTTCTTCCCTTATATTGTCTGAAGGCTACCGCGATAGGACAGGTATAGCACTTACATCCTTAATCCCATCATTGGAATATAAATTAATCACAACTCTAGAAGCCCGCCCCTATGACTGCATGAGGCTTTGGGAGGACATCTAGACAAACTGTAATACTCTACTTTAGCCAAACTGGCCTTTTTGTCCGTGAAGCACATTGAGCTTGTTCCTTCTGTATGACTTTTTAACTGGCTCTTGCTCTGGGCAGCATGTCCTTCTTTCGGATTATTATATGGCCTCTGTCATCTTAACGTTTAGGTCTCTCCAAAGGCCTGCCTTTCAGTGAAGAGGAGCCTTCCCTGACTGTTAGCTTTAAAATTACCTACCCACAACTTTTCCTATTTTAGGAGCAGCACTTTAACTGTCTGAATTGGTTTGCTTTCTTTTTATGAGAGTTATGTCTGGGTTAAATAAATTAATGAATGAAAATATCTTTTTATAAGAGTTATTGCCTGGGCCTGGATTAAACAAATTAATGAAGGAAAATAGCTCAAAACAGTGCTTAGCAATAAGCAGTAACAGTGCTTAAGGTATATAGTCATTTGTTTTTTTGAGTTTCTGATATTATTAAAATTGCATGTTGGCAGGCTGGGGATTTAGCTCAGCGGCATAAGTGCCTGCCTGGCAAGTGCGAATTTGTGAGTTCGATCCCTGGTACCACAAAAAAAAAAAAATTCTTCAATTGCATGTTGGCATATCTGGAGTGCTTTTTTGGAAAATCATGTTTTCAGGCCATTCTGTAGGCCAACTAAGTCATAATCTCTGAGAAAAGAACACAAGTAGCCTTAAATATACATAAATATTTTTAAGACTGATACACATCAATTTCTGAAAGTAGGACAGTAGATTTTTAGCAGCATTTCTGAGGATCAGCGTGGATAGTTGTGACTCTTTGCCATCATTCAGTGCCGCCATGCAGTAATTTATAATTTTGCTGAAACACAAAAGACCCTCACACCCTCCCAGTGTTCCCATCACAGTGTAGCCTCATTCTTTTCTCCTGTGTGTCTCCAATAGCAAGCAGTAAATCTCAAAGAGACTCTACTTTTGTTTTTTTTTTCAGAAACATGAACTTGAAAGGAAAACTAACTGAGAAATATGATGATGCCAGGAAATACATTTTTTTAAAGTAATGGTTCCTAGAAATCAGTGAATCATTTTTACTCACTATACGGAATGGCTTATTTGTGGTTTAGCTCCGTGGTACAAATATTGTTTACCAAATTCTATCTATAAAAAGAAAAACAGTACCATTTTGTCAGGTGTATCAACCACTACAAAAATTTCATGTCATCAGAGAAATTATGTTATTGTTCTAAGTTTAACTACCAAGATTTTGTGAATTTTTTTTAAAAAGGTGGTATAAGATATTTTTGTCTTCCTTGAGCTGGAAAAAACTAAACCAAAGTGTACAAAACAGTAGTGAGTAGACTTAAAGTCCAAAAGAAATGATAGCCATGACTGAATTTCGGAAAAAAATGAAAAATATGTCTGGAGCACTCAGTGAAACAATTGTGGCTCATTACACACACATCTTCTTTAGTTGCAGGACCTGCTCTGCCCCCTAATTATAAAAGTAGTAGTTCAGATTCATCAGACAGTGATGAAGACAGTAGTTCTTCATCTGAAGAAGAAAATCAAGAGTCTGGAGAAGATGACACGAGCCCACCTGCAAGGTAAGGTATGTAGTAAGCCAACTTCCAACAAGTTATGAGTTGGCTCGCACAGCTAGCAAGGGGTGTCATGTTTGGATTTATACAGCACAGAAGAAATCATTTAATATGGCCTGTCCTTGTGAGCTATACTTTCTTTTACAAAGAAGTTTATTCTAGTCACATAGAGCTATAGAGGTCCTTAGTATTTCAATAAAATTCTTACATTAAAAAATTCTTGGGCCAGGAATTTAGCTCAGCCGTTTAAGTGCTTGCCTGATAAGTGCAACGTCATAAATTCAATCCCTAATACAAAAAAAAAAAAAAAAAAAAAAAAAAAAACTTATATAAAGGACCTTTCCTTAAGGTTTTATTGAAGTAAATATTCTAAATAATCTGTGAATTTCTTTTACAGTTACATATGCAGTGGATGTTTTGTTTAAATAAATGAATGATTTCACTTTCATCTAACTTTAGTCATAATGAATCTGTGTAAAGAAGAGATTGAGCTGGGCCATGGTGTGCACATGTAATCATTGCTATGAGTTTAAGGCCAGCCTGGGCTACATACATAGTGAGTGTAAGGCAAGCCTGATCTATGTAATGAGAGGCTGTCTTAAAGAAGAAAATGAAACAAACTATAAAGAGAATTTGAGTCTTTGTATATTATTAACAAATTATTTTATGCATTTTAAAGAACATGAGACAAAGGCTGGGGATTTAGCTCAGCCGCACAGCGCCTGCCTGGCAAGCATGAGGTCATGAGTTCTATCCCCTGTACAAAAAAAAAAAAAGAATATGAAGCAAAAAGAACAATTTATAACCCTGCCTTAAGTGAAAATAAAAGTTAACTCATACACTCTTCCTTGCTAAACATCTAAGAAGACAATTCAAAAATGTGTTTAATGGAATCTTTATTACTACAGAAAGCATAGAATACAGGTATATTACTGATTTGAAAAAGCAGTCAATCTCCATTTTAGGTCACAAATAAATTCCAGAAAATGATTAAGAACTATTGTAGAATATATCTTTTTATTTAGCAAAGTTAATTTATTGTTTTAGTATTTATGCAAGTGGATAAAGTTAATACTTCTTTAAAATTTCTCTTTGTGAAAAAATGTTGACATATATGCATAAATTTTTATTATTTTCAGAAAACAGAAGAGAAATCAGGATGATGGTGATGATGATGATGGGTTTTTTGGACCTGCCCTTCCTCCTGGATTTAAAAAACAGGATGATTCTCCTCCAAGGTGATGACCTATAATATTTCAGACCAGTCTTTAAAACATTTCAACTAATGTGTACTAGTTCATTAAAGAATTACTTAAGGTTGTTTTTTAATTTGTGTACTTCATACACTTGAAATTGATCATTCATAGGGAACATAGTTGTTCCTTATAATAAAAATATTTACATGCTTGTAGTACTTATAAATTGTAAAAAGAAATTTGATACTCAAAAAGTATTTGATGGTAGGAGGGATGGAATATTGCTCTGTCTTCTCCTTTTTAAACAGTAAAATAGCATGCATAGGTAATGGATCTGGGACTTGAATCCTGAGGTTTGGACTTGTAATTCAGTTGTTTTCTTAATTATTTGTACAAGAAAAAAAATATTAATGTACAATTTGACTACCTTCTCTGATTGTTAAGCGTGTCATTTTTAAACTAGAATTGTGGCATAAACCCTCCAAAATTGTTGTAATGGTTGAGATTTCCTATTTGTATGCACGCGCTTGTTGGTGTCTTACTGGTGTCTTATGGGTGTCTGCCACAGAGTAAGTGTGTAATGAATATTGATTCCTGCTTCCTAGAAGTATAAAAATTTTAAATATCAAGTATTAAATTGCTTATAATTCATAAAACTATATACTAGTATGCAAGAGCAAGTAGAAAAGATGCATATTTATTTGTATTCAGAATTTATAATTACATTTGGTAAGCCCTAATTTCCGTATAACTCAGGTTCTTATAGATAATAATACTTTTTTTTTTGGTATGGTATCTAACCTAAGAGTGATTTTTATATTTTTAAATAGTATTTGCAAAAATATAAATAAGCCAAAGCCCCAAATGCAGTTCTCAAAGCCTAAAATTTACTATCTATCCCTGAATAGAAAGGTTACTAACCTTTGGGATATAACATTTCTTTCAAGGTAACATATTATAGTTGGGACACTGGCATAATGGGGACAACACTCGGACAGAGAAGCAAGAGTGGAAAAACTGAGAAGTACCAGAAAGAGCAGAAAGTACACTTTCTCTTTCACTTTTTCCCCATATAAAGGCAGGCTCATGATTCGGCCCTTCTCTCCTTTGCGTTGGTAACAGTTTCCTCAGCATGGCAGTAGGGCAGCTGGAAAGAAGAGGAACTTCGGGAATAAAGAGGCCAGGACCTGCACCTAACTCAGCCACTCGCTGAGCACGTTGACCTTTAGCACTAATTTTGTTCAAAGCGGAGTGACTTACACTGACCAGATTGTTTTGCAATCTTTTTTTTTTTTTTTTTTTTTTCCTTTTTTCCGGTACCGGGGATCGAACTCACGACCGCCTGCCTGCAAGGCAGGTGCTTATGCCACTGAGCTAAATCCCCAGCCCCAACTGACCAGATTGTTTTAAAGCAACAGAAAGGTGCACCAGTTGAAATATGTGTAACTCAGTACATTTTTATCCTCCTATGGGTCTCAATGCATTCAACTTCAGGTTGTCACTGGCTTATTAGGACACTGGATAAATTTGTATATCGCTTGTGTAAATACACCACCAATTAGTGACACATGTTGTATGCTTATACTATATATGTCCTTGGAAAACCTCAATATCTCCTTAAATAGTTCTGACTACAGTGGTACCTCAGGTCATGAACTTAATTTGTTCCATGACTCTGGGAAAAATATCTATAGTCATGTTCATCACATGATGTAGAGTTCATAAGTAGAAGCACAATTTTCCCAAACAATTCTTTTGTGAAATGAACTATTCATGAACAGAAGTGTTCATGAACGGAGGTATTACTACAGTTATAATGCCCCTAAAGTATTTTTCAGTGGACAGTGAGTATCAAAAAAAGAAAGTCAAGGCACAAAATAAAAAAGAATACATCATATGGATTTTTTTAATTCGCATATTTACTTACTATATTTCTTTTTGGCATGCACCTTTGTTGCAAAAGTTGAGAATTATTGGTTTAGTATTTAATTGACTAACAAATACTTTAAAATGCAAAACTTATGTTTAAGACACCTAGTAGAAAAATATTAAGCAACAGTAGTGAAAGTAATGTGTTAAATTCTCATTTTCAACATAAAGTTACCAACTTTATGATTGTTGTGAACTATTAGGCTGAAAGCTGCTTTTCAAGTCAAGGAGAATGATAAAAGTACATGTTATTTTTCAGGCCTATGATAGGTCCTGCATTGCCTCCTGGTTTCATTAAATCTACACAGAAAAATGAGAAAGGTGGAGATGATCCAGGACAAGTATCATCATACTTCAACTCTCAGGTTTGGAAGACGTTCATTTTAAGAATAAAATTAACTGACCATATTACTAAGTTTTCATTGAATCATTGAACACAACTGTTTGCAGTCTCACTGTTTGAATGTGCACTTTGTATGCTTTAAACCTGTAACTTGAACAACTATTTCTAAGATGACAATATATAACCTATTAACTAGTGATTTCTTACCTTTTTTTTTTTTTAATTCTGTATTACTTGTACCGGTATACTGTTTTGGTTTTTTTTCCTTTAAATAAGAATAAAATTCTATTTTACTGCTTTGGTTTTTTAAATTTTATTTCCTTTCTCTTTTTTTTCTCTTTAAATTAAAAAAAATAGAATTAACAAATTACAAGCTTTAGTGATAACTTTAATCACTTGACTAAATGTAACCTAAGACTTGGGTTTATTTGTTTATTTTGGTACTAGAAATCGAACCAGGGCCTCACGCTTTTCAGGCAGGTGCTGTAGTCCTGAGCTACACCTGTAGCCCTTCAGTTATATTTATATTGATTTAAGATTATAACATAGATAAAATAAAAAGCGGTTCATAAACCCAAAATTGTGTTAGTAAAAATACAAAGTTGAGTATGCAAGTTTTTTTTGTTTTGTTCTGAGACAAGGTCTCACAGTGTAGTCCACGCTGGCCTTAAACTCCCTTAATAGCCCAGCTGGTCTTGAACTCCAAGTGATCTTCCTGTCTCAGCCTCCCAAATGCTGGGATTATGGCATGCATCATCATCCTGGCATGCTGTTTATTTTTAAAAGGTGGCTTGAAAGTGTTAGCAAAGTGGAACTTAAGGCTTCATTGTGAGTTACACTAGAGGAATGAAGACTGATGAAGGTAATTCTGTGATACCGGGCACTGAACCCACAGCCTTTCCACTAAGTGACATCACCAGCCCTTTTTTTTAGTTTGATACTGGGTCTCATTAAATCACTCAATTGCTCAGGGTGAGGTCAAACTCACAGTCCTCCTGCCTCAGCCTCCTGAGTGCTAGAGTTCAGATTTGTGCCCCATGTTCATCTATGAGGAGCTTTATCTTTAAATTAACCCAACTCTAGTACCTATACATAAAAAATGTACAGGTAGATAAGTGGTTTTCATGAAAACAGATCAGATGATTTGGAGCAGAAGATGAAGGCTATTTTCTTCCTTGATGGTAGCTGAGATTCGTAGAATACCACTTGAAATACATTTTCTCCATATATGGGTCTTATTTTTATCTTCTCCACAGCCTCATAAAATACATATTATTTGAATCTTACAGATGTAAAAGACTAAAAATAGTATCTCCCCCAAATTTATATTTCTTATCAGAACCATGGCTCACCTACAGTTTTTATGACTTTAAAGTGCGTAGTCTGTTATGAGGTAGTGCCTTTCTACAAGTGAATTGATACAATCAAGAGACCCCTGCTCATTACTGAGAATTCGCTTGTTACACTGAGGTCAATGAAAGTAAGTAAAGTGGCTAAGAGCATGAACTTAACTCTCTCTTTCAACGAGTGTTTTAGAGCATCTGCAATGTGTCAAGCAGATAGGCACAGAAATGAATCTGTCAACAAACTCTTGTTCCTATTCTTTGAAAGACATCCAACATCTAACCACTTGGCCCATCCTGGTCCAAATGATCTCATATTCCAGCTGTTTGATTGGTTTTCAGACTTTAATTAGCTCTTGCCCCCTTCTGCCTCTTCTTAGCATAGCAGCTGGAAAGTCTGCATGAGACAAAGTCAGATCCTGTCAGTAACCCTGAAGCCTAGTAAATCCTCCAAAAAATTCAAAGTCTACAGGGCCCTATACAATTTGGTCTCTGCTAGTACAGATTTTTCTTTTGCTTTAGTACAACTACACTGGGCTCTTTGCTGTTTCTCTGCAAATATACCAGGCTAGCTACTACCACTGAGCTCTTATACCTGCTACCCAAGGTTGTCCAAAATGATCTGCCAGATGTCTACATGGCTGACCTCCAGGAACTTCAGGGGTTTTTTGTGGGGGAGGGTACTAGACTATGATCTTCCCAATGAGTTCATCTCTCGTCTTTTAACTTAAATTTGTTCTTCCTTTTATTGTTACTGCCTTCCTTTGTTTAATTTTCTCCATAGTATTTATCAACACTAAAGATAGCACTGATTTTACTGGTTATTTATTGTCCTCTTTCCACTAGAATGTGGGTCCATAGGGACAAATTTTTGTCAAATAGAATTATTTTCAAATGTGTGATCATTGCCAATTGGTAATAAGTACCAGTAATCCTGACTCCAAGGTCACATCTGTGTCCCTCTGTAGGAATGCTAAAGTGATATAATAATGTCTGCCATAACATAGAAAGAGAGATGGGACAGTCTGTATGCCATGGATTTGTTGTCATTGCTTAGTGACAAGCCAGCAATGAGTATATTGTTTATTTTTTATTTTATTGTCTATGGATAATCCGATTAAAGTAAATTAGGGTCATTCTTGTGTAACTTGTAACTCTGTCTCGTTTTAGGAGGAAACAGATAGCAGTGAAGATGAACACATTGTTGGACCAATGCCTGCCAGGGGACCAGTGGACTATAGTGTAACAACAGAGTTTGAAAAAAGGGCTCAGAGAATGAAAGAAAAACTAACTAAGGGAGATGACGTGAGTTTTTAAAAGACATTTTAAGAAATAAACTAAATTGGCTGAAAAGATCTGTTAGAAATAAACATCAAAATATATGCAGATGTATTTAATAGCTACATATACATTAATGTTCATTTCCAAAATTTAGACATATGTGTACTTACTCTCAAGCATATATACATACATTGTTTTCTTTTGTGTTCTGTTTTTTAAAACAGATTCTTACTATGTAGTCCAGGCTGGCCTTGAACTTGTGACGATCCTCCTGCCTCAACTTTCTGAGTGCAGGGATTACAGGCATACCCACCACACCCGCTTCATATATATACACACATACATACATATTAATTTATACATACATATATAACCTAGAAACTGTAAAGGAAAAGATCAGCAAGTTTGTCTACTAAAAATATTCTGTATGGCAAAAGATAGTCAAAAAAATAACAAATTGAAGCTATGTAGCAACTGTAATGCTTAAAACATCAGTCCTTCCTGTTACAGTCTGTTAAGTAAATTTAAAACCTCAATTGATAAATAGAATTGTTTGTACATATTTATTTATTGTATATATAAAATATGTGTGTGTTTTAAACTTTTTTATTTCTCTTAAAGGATTCATCTAAACCAATTACAAGAGAATCATGGATGACTGAGCTTCCTCCAGAAATGAAAGACTTTGGTCTTGGGCCAAGAACCTTTAAAAGAAGAGCTGATGACAAATCCGGAGATCGATCAGTCTGGACAGATACTCCAGCTGACAGGGAAAGGAAAGCTAAGGTGTTTGTTCATATGTTTTTGTGTGTTGACTCAATTTTGAAACATAAAAGTCAAAATTATTTAAGGATACTAATTTTTGAAATTAATGTTTCCAAAGAAAAATACAGATTTTTTTTTCCCCCCTCTGGAAGGAAAGACACTATTTGCATCCTATTTTCCAATAAATGACTTCATTTAAACCTCAAGAAAACCCTAAGACATAGGTTTAATTTTTTTTTATTAGCACGTGTTTGCAATACAGATTGTTTACATCCCCTCTGTGGTACATTCCCTAGTTGGTACATTTACTTTTATTGTATTTTATTTTGTTGTTCTTGTTGTTGTTTTTGAGATAGGATCTTGCTATGTATTCAGGCTGGCCTCGAACTCACTGTGTAGCCCAGGCTGGTCTTGAACTCACGGCAATCCTTCTCTGTGAGACCACAGAGGCAGGCAGAGCTTAAGCAACATGCAAGGATTTACTGCAGACCGCGTCTGAACAGTCTAAGGGAGAAAAGACCATTGGCCCTGAGCAAGGGACAAGAGCACGTTTTATAGGGGAGTTTCAGTAGGGGAGGGGGGAAATTCTGAGGGGGTGCAAAATTTTGAGTCTCTGAGTAGGGGACCTGGGGCTGGCTGATAGATGAGGCGGTATTGAGTACTGGGGGTGCTGACAGGCACAGCATGTCTCTTGTGGTTTTTCACAGAATCAGCTTTCTGCAGGTTGAGCTGTGTGAGGCAGCTGGTAGCTTCCTGTTAATGCTATACACTTACAGGTGTGAATAATGATCTGCTTGGGCTGGGTGGGGGTCTGGTTCAGAGACCTGACGTTCTTGTCAGTTGTGTGATAGAAAAAGAAGACAGGGAGGTGGTATAGTTTCTCAGGACTTCATCAGATGTGACTGCTACATGGGCATCCCAGAAAAGAGAGGCAGAAAAAAATGAAGGGAGAGAGGGGCTGGCCTGGTGGCAGCATGACAGGGTATTGATCTGGGCAAAGTGATGCAGTGCTAGGAGCATGATGATCTTTGGTTCTGCTACAGGTCAGCCTGAAATTCCTGCAGGCCAGTGGGTAACAGGCCACCAGGAGATGATTTGATCTGTCCTTGTATGAAATCTGTTAAGAGTTTTATTATGCAAGTTTGAGTTAGGTATTGAAACTCTTGGATGTACGTGCAGGTGTCAGAGAGAAAGGAGACAAGGCCACGAGCAGTTTGAGAGAGATCAGTGAGGAAAAAGGGAACATGGACCTGGGCAGTGCCCTCTGTGCCAGCGACCTTGTGGAGAGGGAGTTGGGCAGGAGGGGCTGAGGGGCTGAAGCAGAGTCCAGAGCAGGCATGAGAAGAAATGGGGTGACAGACGGGGGAATGGGTAGGAGAGTGTGGGATAGGGGGTTTTCCAGGAGAAATAGGGGCAGTAGGGGGTGAGGCTGGGAAAGCTGATGGGGCTGGAGGGGTGGCAGTTGAATGACAGCCAGAGGGAACCAATCAGAGGAGGGAGAGTGGCGGTGGAAGAGTGCGTGGTGGGCGGGTGAGGAAAGAGGGGTCAGCTGTAAAGGCCTTGTCAGGAGCAGGCAGAGAAGGAAGAGTTAGGAGTGTGGAAATAAGGAGTTCAAGCAGGGTTGCAGGAGATACAAGGGAAGGGAGTCTGTGGAGAGCAAAATATGCCTCAACATAGGGGACCTCAGACCATTTTCCCAGCCTGTGACAATAACTGTCAAGGTTTTGAAGAATTGAAAAATCAAATGTGCCATGGATTGGCCATTGAGAGCCATTATCTAGCTTGTAGGTTATCCGTGCCATGTTCCAGAAATAGATGAGACGTTTTTGTTTCAGGTCACGTAAGGTGGAGAGGTTTGAGATGTTTGAGAACACAACACTGGGAGACGCAGCAGGAATGGAGGGAGGTAAATTGCCCACATTGGTCTTAGACTCTTGCCAAATGGAGGCAATTTAAGAAAGAGAGGAGAAATCGCCAATCAGTTCCTTGAGGCTGATTGAATTCTGGGTATCCCCAGAATGAGTGACCATCAGGGAGTCAAACTCCCAAGGGGAAGTGTGACCAGTACTGGGTTTTTGGAACACAATTTAGGCTGGGTCCAGAAAGCCAATTAGAGCAAGGGGGGCAATGGAGACAAATGACAAAGACAAGAGAAGGTGACAGGATGTAGAAGCACTTAACCTACCTGAAGACGACCAAGACTAGCAGCAAATGGCAGTGAGGAAGGACTGGAGGTCAATGTCAAAGGCAGTCTCAGTGTGCCCCAGGGGGCTCCAGAGAAGGAGATCCGCCCCTCCTAGGAGGGGATCTTGACCTCCCAGGTTTTGCTGTCCTCACATGTTGCTTAAATTCTGCAGTCTTGGTGGTTTCAACTGTGCCTTGGTTTACCCTAACAGAAAGCTGAGGTGAGGTAACACATGGAGGTAGAAAAGATGACAAAGGATATGGTATATGCGTGAGCCACCGACATTGAAAGGCCAGTGTTAATGTCTTATTTTTATAATAATGATATAATCAGGGTATGTATTTTATACTAATAATGTGTCTCAGTCACTGTCTTCATCATTGGGATGCAATACCTGACATCAACACATTAAATGAGGAGAGGTTTATTTTGACTTATGTCTAGAAGTTTCAGTCCTTACTTGACTGGCTGGCTCCAGGCAGAATCAGCACGGTAGAAGTCTCTGGCAGAGGGAACCTGCTCCTGGCATGGCCCTGGAGCAGCAGAACACAAGTCCAGGGGAGACCTGGGAAGGAAGGTCACCCTTGCCCACACTGACACTCCTCTTCTCCCTGGACCACACCTTCTAACAGCAAGGCAGCTATAATTCTCCCACAGTCCAGGCACCCTCCAAACACATGAGGCTTCATGGGCCCTTTTAGATCTAAACCATAGAGGACTACAATTTTTATAATTTAGCCTTTTAGGATTGCCTCCAAAAAGACAATTCCCTTGCTTACATAGGGTTTCTATTTGCAGGTCTTGCTATTGTTGTTGTTTGACTTCTTACTGTGGTTTAATATAAATGACTACACTACAGCTACATATGCAGGGAATCTTCCTGCGTATGTATCATTTTATCATTTTAAAAGGGCGCAAATGGAAACCAGGCAGTACAGTTTGAACTTAAATCACTTTAATCCCTGTGACTGAGATCTTTAGACCTGATTGATCTTCTCAGTGCTGCAAGTTTTTGGTCTGTGCTAATAGTGGACTTGTAAAGAGAATTTTTAATACCCCAAGTTTTATGTAATTGTGTATTACAGTGTATACTATCACAGACTTTGTCAGAAATGATACAATATCAGCCAGGCGTGGTGACTCACGCCTGTAATCCCAGCACTCGGGAGGCTGAGGCAAGAGGATTGTTGCGAGTTCAAGACCAGCCTAGGCTCCAAAGTGAGCTCAAGGCCAGCCTGAACTGATTAGAGAGACCCTGTCTCAAAAAGACAAAAATAAAAAAAAGGAAATGATATATCATAATGCTATTCATTTCTGGTATCTTTTTTCCTCTGTAAAGTTTATGACTAATCTTAGCCAGATCTTCCTCTTAATATTTGCTTCAATCACAATATAACATCTTTCATTCCTCTCATATTCCCTTAGCCAACATGACCTAAAAGAAATGATTGTTCTTTAGAAAGAAATGAAAAAGTTTTGCATAAGTTACATGAATGTCTTTGTGTCCTCACCTCCAAGTCTTGACAAGATATATTAGCAGGACTCTGTTGTGTCTGTTATTAAAGGGTCAAGTTTATGTCTCCATTTTAACATAACATCATTTTTCTCTTAATATTTATAAATAAATACACAGGCATGGAGGTACATGCCTGTAATCACAGCACTCAGAAGGCTGAAGCAAGAGGATTGCCAGGAGTTCAAGGCCAGCCTGTGCTACATAAGCAAGTTCAAGGCCAGCCTGCACTATATTGTGATACCTTGCCTCAAAAAACCTCAAAAGAACACATGTTTTTTAAGGAAATTTTTATGGAAAATAAGAAATGAACTATTCCAGTGTTTTTAACATACTTTTTAAAATACTAGTTGTTTTAGTCTCTATTAAGATAAGAGTAGTTATAAAGGTCTTGTTGGTTTTCCTAATCAAGTAACAACATAAAAATGTGCCTTGAAAACTGGTTTTTCAGCTATTTTTATGTGAACTTTCCTCTTTCTGTATTCTGTGGAATATTGCTGTAGCATTTTTTTTCTGGTTACAGTTTGTTGATGTTTTTCCTAATTATTTCATTTTTTGTATGCGTGCTGTTATAAATAGAATCTTTGTTTTGTTTCAAATTCCAGCTGTCTATTACTGATATATTTTGTATATATATCGTGTAGTTTTCTGTACTTCCAGGATAATTTGGTGTTTTTTATGTAGAATATCGTGTCATCTGTGATTAAAGACAGTTGCTTTTTTGTTTGATGTGTTGGTACTGATACTGGTGATTGAACCCAAGGCCTCATCCCTACCCAGGGAGGCCTCAGGATTAAAAGTCAAGCCCAGGCCAGGCAACTGACTTCGTGAAACCTGTCTGAAAATGCAAACGCTGCTGAAGAGCTAGGACGTGGCTCAGGATGGCCCTGGGTTCAACCCCCACTACTACCTACAGGGTTTTTTTCCTTTTTTTGAATATCTTTTACGTCTTTTTCCCCATTTTACTATTGTTTGAAAAGAGATAATTAAGAGTTTCTTGTAAGCCTTATTTTCATTCCTGTATTTCATCATTGTTCATCAAAACTCAGATCCTAAGTTCAGGAGAAGGTAAGCGATTGCAGTTAATTGAGTAAAGTTTTTGTCTTATTTTCTTATTTTCAGAAAAATCATAGACTAAATCACTAGCTGATCCCTTATGAAGAATATAAATGTTTCTGACCAGAAAGAATTTAACAAGCTTGATGTAGTTTAGTCTCTTGTTGAGTAATCTGAGTAAAAATGATGTTTTCTTTTATCATTTTGTGTGCTTCAATTAATGTTAACTGTGCTCCTTCCTCAGGAAACCCAAGAAGCCAGGAAGTCGTTTGATAAGAAGGATGAGGAATATGTATTTTCAGGAAGAGATAAGAGGTTGGCTGAGCAGGTATCCTTATACAATGTAAGAAAATAAAATAAATAATCTCTTATTTTTCTTTAACTTCTTATCTCCTTTTTTGTTTCCTTGTTTCTCTCTCTTTCTTTGATTACCTGCTCAGCTCAGGTATTTTCTATATATATAAGTCCTGAAATGTACATGACTCTGTTATATGTGTGTATGTATCTGTGTGCACATATATGTACAGTATCCTTCTGTACATTTGGTGTGTTTTCAGTTTATGTTTTACTTAAGTTATATATGATAAATGCAGTTACTAGAAATCGGTAGCACTTGATCAGAAAGCAAGAGCTGTGTTAACTCATGAATGTGTCTTTCTGTATGAGATTTCTTACTGTTTTTCTCTTTATGTTCACTGAGCTCTCTTCTTTGTTCTCAGGTGTATCCTTTGACGTAGGCAGGACCTTAAAAAAAAGTAAATGTTAAACAAAAATTGTTCTTTCTTTCATTGCCACATACATCAATATGTCTGATTTCAGAATATCCTTTTTTTTTATTTTTTTTGGTACTAGGGAACGAACTTGACCTTGTGCTTGCCAGGCAGGCTGAGCTAAATCCCCAGTCCCAATTTCAGAATATTCTAAAATCCAAAATACTCATTGCTGAAAGACGCAACACTCTTTTGAGAAATATGTTCAAGATAGAATGATACAAAGCCCTTGTGGGTTTCCTATTGATTTAAGTTTTGTTCTTGCTTGTTCTTTATATTTTTGTTTCAGATGTCCATGAGATTTTGCCTTCCCAGACACTATACTATAATCTCTACAACTGTAAAGAAAGAGGTGGCACCTTTACAAAATGTTTTATAGGGCAGGTCAGTTTTAAGAACGATTACATGAAAAAGCTAAGATCATGAAATAAGTAAATGTTAAATTATCTAGGCCTTCATATGCTGTAGAAAGGCTGCTGGCCTGTACTATTCTTCGTCTTCCTCTGCTTCTTCACTCCCAGGCCAATCTATCCTTTACTTTAATCAGGGCTCAGAGGTTTGTAGTGAATCTACAATCTGTTTTTAAACAGGGTCTCGCTATGTAGTTCAAGCTGGCCTTGAATTCACTAAGACAACTCTGAAGTGCTGGGACTACCGCCATATGGCATCACACTTGGCTGGATTTCCAATTTATTAAACCAATTTCCTTTACTCAGGCCTTGTTTTACTAAATATGTCTGAAAATATAAGTATCTACTCCAGTCGCTAAGAAATAAAAAGTTGGAGAGGTAAGAGCAAGAAGAGCAAACGGAATGGACAGAAATTTCTGTTGGCTGGTGGAGCCTGCCAGTAGCTCTTGCACAGTCCCTGAATTTTGCAGTTTTACTCTTGTTCTCCTTTTGTTTTGGCTGCGTCCTGTCAGTGCCTTGCCTTCTGGATGCAGTTTAGGTTCAGGAACCTGTCCATCCATGAGATAGGAGTAAATGGCTCTTCCTTTCACACCCATGTGCTTCACTGTCCTGTTTGCTTGTGCTGGAGATTGAATCCAGGGCCTCCCATATCTATGCAAGTGCTGTACCTTTCAGCCATATTTACCCCTAGTTTGTAATTTTCTTACTATTTAAATATAAGTAGCTATGATGCTTTTCATTATGATTATTTGAATATTTATTTCTTCTCTATTTTAATCAGATTTAAATGCATGGTTTACATAGATACCTTTATTTTGGTTGAATTTGCCTCCAGTGCATATTTTCTTCATAGATGCTGTCTTGGATTTGGAAAAACCTGTTGAGGTTTGACAGTAGCCTTCTTTACTGTACATCATTGTCTGAGTTTCTGCCCCATGGTCAAATCCTGTCAATAATGTATATGACTTATGGTCATTGTTTCTGCTCTTCTTCTTTTTCCAGGAATCAAAAAGATCAGAATCTCTTATGGACATTCATCATAAAAAATTAAAGAGTAAGGCCACTGAAGATAAAAATAAGCCTCAAGAGAGAATACCATTTGACCGTGATAAGGATCTCAAAGTTAATAGATTTGATGATGCTCAGAAAAAAGCCCTAATAAAGAAATCTAGAGAACTGAACACCAGATTTTCACATGGCAAAGGGAATATGTTTTTATAAGTAAGTTTGTCTGTAGTGTATATTTTCATACTCATCAGTTTGAACCTTTCTGAATACACTTGTCTATAATGATTATGTACTAAAAATACTTGTTTTTATAATAAAGTAAATTATAAGCCTCTTTTTTTTAAACAAGTAAACTGGGATTGTTGAAAAAATCAGCCTTGTGTGATTAAAAAACAAATATCCTTGCCCTCACAATAATCTAAAAGGGCATTGCTATTAAAAATGTTAAAAAGTTTCATGTAAGAGAAATAGCAAAGTAAAGAGTGGTTTGAAGATCAAATATGCATGCTTTATTAAAGAATAAAGGAAGGAGGTTTGCTAGTAATATTTTTAACAAGATCACAATCAGAAAATGTTCATTATTTTAGAAGGCCATCCTACGTTTTGTTTAAATCATTATATGATTCATCCATAGCCCAATGTGACTAGAGTTTGTAGTAGTAATTAAGGAATTGTGTAAGGACTAAGATTGCTTCTTAAAATATTTGTGATTTTTTTAATTGGATGAAACCTACATCAATATTCAAATGTGACTTTAAACAAAAATATAGTCAGAATTAGAAATGTTTTCCAACTTACTGGATTCTCTTATTTCTTACCTCAGGGGATTCCCATGTAGAATGAAAGAAAGCTGAAGAATACTTCGTTTTGTACTTCTTAATGCTAGGGAATAATATTTATTTTTATTGCTTCATGTTCACAGTACATAATAATTACATTCATAATGAGGAGTTAATGCATGTATATAGCACATCTTAAGTCTGTTTATATTCCCTTCCCTTCGTCTCCCTCCACCTCTTAGTCTTCTTCTCATTTGCAAAAGATAATCTCCCTGTTTCCTACTATCCATGTTTTATTTCCTTCTTCAAATTATTTATACCTTGGATTTCTCATATAGGGAAACCATGCAGTATTTAAGTTTGTGGGTCTGATTTATTTCATTTAGCCTTATGGCCCTAAAGTATATTCATTTTCCTACAAATGACTCAGATTTACCCTTCACTGTGGCCGAATAGTCCTCCATAATGTGTAAGTAACACATTTTCCTTATCCATTGGTCTGTTGCTAGACATAGGCTTGCTCTCAAGCGTTGTGCTGATACAGGTGTACACTGACACTATAGAAGAATGTCTTTAATTCTTTTAGGAAGATCATAGCTGGGTCTAACGGAATTTCTGATTTCTGTAGTAGTTCTAGTTTATGTTCCCACCAACAATGTAGAAGGGTTTCTTTTTCCCCTACAGCTTTGGTAGCATTTGTTATTTGCTTTCTTGATGATGATCATTCTTTCTAAAATAAGATGGAATCTCAATGTTGTTTTAATTTGCCTTTTTCTAATGGCTAGAGATGGTGAGCATTTTTTCATGTATTTGTTGGCCATTTGTACTTCTAAGGATTGTCATTTCAGTTTTTATTGCTTTATTGCTAGTTATTAGTCCTCTGTGTGAGAACTAGCTGGCAAAACAATTTTCCCAGTCTGTTGGTTGTTTGCTATGTAATGCGACATGATCCAATTTGCTGATTCTTGAGAATTAGGGGTTCTATTCAGAAAACCTTTACTATAGTCCTATGTCTTTAAGAGTTTACCTATTACGTCTCCCAGCAAATTGTTTCTATTTTAATACTGTATTTAGATCTTTGATATTTTTTGTTCTTATTAAATATGGGTCTAGAGTCAATCTTCTGCATGTGGATAGCCAGTTTTCCCAGCGCCATTTGATAAAGAGGCTGTCTTTCCTCTACCATGTGTTTTTGGACCCTTTCACAAGGATCATCTGGTTGAGTATCAGTTTTGGCCATATGACCTTTTGACAGTTTGTTTCTATATATCCAGCACAGTAGATGTCTTTCCATTTTCTGATATCTTCTTTATCTCTTTTTTCAGAGTACTATAGTTTTTGTTATACTTTTTTAGGTTAATTCATATTTAATTTTTTCTGAAACTACTATGAGTATTATTTTTCTGGTTTCTTTCTCAATGGATTTACTACTGGCATTCAGGAACACTGTTGGTTTTTGTGCAGTGATTTTGTGTTCTGCTGCTTTGTTGAATCTGTTCATTAGTTCTGTCTTTTAGTAGAATTGTTTGGATCTTCTGTATAAAGATCACATTGTCTATAAATAAGGATAGTTGGAGTTCTTCCTTTCCTAGATATCCCTAGTATTTCTGTCTCTTGTTTGATTGCTCTGACTAAAGTTTGAAGTGCTGTATTCAACAACAATGGTAATAGGGGCGTAAAGTTTTCTTGTTCCTGATTTTAAAGAAAAAGCTTTCTGTTTTTCCTCATTTAATATGGTGTTTGCAGAAGGCCTCTCATAAATGACTTTTATCAGGTTAATATTGAGTCCTTCTATACCTGTTTTCTTCAGAGTTTTTGTCATGAACAGACATTGGATTTTGTTAAAGATTTTTCTTTGACTTTGAGATAATACAGTTTTGTTCTTGATTCTGTTTCTGTACTGTAGTACATTTGTTAATTTGCACATGTCGAATCATCCTTGCGTCTCTGGAATGAAGCCTGCTTGATCATGATTTATGATCTTTTTAATGATTTATCACATTCTATTTGCCAGTGTCTTGTAGAAGGTCTTTAAATCTATGTTCATCAAAGATATTGGCATGCAGATTTCTTTTTCAGTTGAGTCTGTTTAGCTTTGTATTCAAAAGTTACTTTTGTATTGCTATCTTCCAGAAATGAATTTGGTAATATTCTTTCCCTTTCAACTTCATTGAAGAGTTTGAGGAGTATTGACATTAGATCTTCCCTGAGGTTCTTGTAGAATTCAGCAGTGAATCCATCAGTTCCTGGGCTTTTCTTCATTGGTAGGTTTTTAGCACGACCTCAATTTGAATGCCTCTTACTGGATTTTTCAGTTTCTATATTCTCTTGGTTGTTTTTGTAATCCACATGTATGTAGGAAATCTACTCATTTCTGCTGAATTCTCCAATTTATTAGAATATAGGTTTTTGAAGTAGTTATTGTTAATATGGGTGTCCATTGTGATTGTACCTTTTTCATTTCTAATTGCATTTATATGAATCTTTTTCTTTGTTAAGATTGGCTAAGAATATGTCTGTTTTGTTTATTCTTCTGAAGAACCACTTCTTTAATTCATTGATTCTTTATATTCTTTTTTTAGTCTCAATTTAATTAATTTATACTTTGATCTTTATAATTTCCTTCTTTATATTAGCTTTGGAATTGGGTTGTTCTTGTTTTTCTAGGACTTTGCAGTGGTGATTAGGGATGATTGCCCTGTTTTTCTGGTATGGGCACTCATAGCCACAAATGCATCACTTAGGACTCCTTAAATTGTGCCCCATAGGTTCTGTTATGTTACACTGTTATTATCATTCAGTTCTAGGAACTATATAATTTCTTTCTTGATTTCTTTTGTGACCCATTGATTATTCAAGAGGGTAGTGTTTAATCTTCATTTGTTTGCATAACTTCTGTGTTTCTTTTGCCATAGATTTCTAGTTTCTTTAGATTACCAGTTTCTTTAGATTACCATCTGATAATATGCATGGGGTAATTTCAATTAGATTATTTATTTAGGCATGCTTTATTGCCTATATGGTTTATTTTGAAAAAAATTCCAGGAGCTTCTGAGAATAATGTGTATTCTGCTATTAGGCAGAATACTCTAGATTATTATTAAGACCATTTGTCTGAAGGTGTGTGGCTCAACTTTGCTGTTTCTTGATCAGTGCTTTTCTTTAGTTGACCTATTTGTGACAGTGGGGTATTGGGGTCTCCTGTTATAATTGTTTTGTTGTATATCTGATCTTTTATGTCCAATAGTGTTTGTTTTATCAAGTTGAGCGCCCCACCCTTCTGCTTAACTGCTTTCCCTACCTAGTATATTATTTCACTAGATGTTTTGGCATTGTTGGCTTCATTTTCTCTTTTTAGAATATCTTTGAGAATTTTTCATGGTGTTGGGTTGGTGGTCTTGAATTTCTTGAGGTGGTCTTTGTCATGGCAAGACCTTATTTTTTAATCAATTTTGAAAGATAGCTTTGCAGGATATATTAGTCTGAGCTGGAAGTTGCTTGCTTTTTTGGTTTGGGTTGGGTTGGGTTGGGTTTTGGATTTTGGCAGTTTTGAGACAGGATCTTGCTATGTAGTTCAAGCTGGACTTGAACTCACTGTGTAACCCAGGCTGGCCTTAAATGCACAGTTATCCTCCTGATTTAGCCCCCTCCTGAGAGCTGAGATTATGGGTGTACACCACCACACAACGGCTGGAAGTTGTTTCCTTTTAGGATTTGAAACACTTCGCTGTTGGGGCTGGGGATTTAGCTTGGTGGCATAAGCACCTGCCTTGCAAGCATGTGGTCGTGAGTTCGATCCCTGGTATAGATTAAAGAAAAAAAAAACATTTCACTGTAAGCTCTCCTGGCTTTTAAGGTTTGTGTTGCAAAGTTTCCTGTAATTCTAATGGGATTACCTTTCTAAGTGACTTTAAGATTCTGTCCTTGTACTGGACATCATTGACCAAGATGTGTCATGGAAAAAGCCTTCTGGTCATGACTATTTTGGATTCTGTATGCCTAGCTTATCTGTGTTTTAAATTCTCTCCCCATACTTGGATAGTTTTACACAACTATTTCTGGAAAAAGGTTTTCATGCCATTTGAGCTGTCTTCTGATTTTTCACTAATTCCAGTAAACTTAATTAGCCTTTGCATTGTATAGCAGCTGTTGATGTCTTCCATGTTTTCTTACTGTTTTTATGGAATCTTTTAGTATGTAACCATCAACATCAGCCTTACCTTCTAGTTCTGCCACTGTCCTCTCATGGGTCACTTTTGCTACCATACTATCAATAATCAATACAGTTTTTAGGATCAGGGATTTAGCTCAATGGCATAAGCGCCTGCCTTGCAAGCGCAAGGTCATGAGTTCAATACCTGGTACCAAAAAAAAAATTTTTTTTTTTACGGGACTCAATACAGTGTTTTATCTCTTGTGTTTCTGTTTGGGACCTTTTTCATGAACTCTTTAATTCTTGGATAGATTAACATTCATGATTTGTTTCTTCTTTTTTTTTTTTAGCTCAGCTAGCTTTTTATTAGTGTCTTCTGTAAGTTCACTGACCATCACTTAT